AAGTATTTTTAATTTTTAATTTTTTTAAAAATCTCGTATTATATACTTTTTAAATATATTCGTAGGCATTCAAATGTTAAACTTCAGTTTATATTTGTCGGTCAAATCCGACAAAAGTCGTTCGATATTATTTATAGATTATTTTTTTCATTGTCTTATGCCGTGGATTGTTCAGAATTATCTGTTGGTGCAGTATGAATGATGATGTCAATATAATGGGCTGTGGCATTTGCTGTTGGAAGTATATGACGTGCATGTTGGTCATATATTATTATGTGCCCCCCAACATTGAACAATTTAACAAAAAACAAATTTTATTATTTTATAATCGTAATTCGTATTCTCTATTCATTATTCAATAATTTATTTATCTGTTAATCGTATAATATGATAAAATACCGAGCATACGTTGAAAATCGGCACAACAATATTATTTTCGTTGGTCGAAAATCAAATAGATATGGTGCGGTTAGCAGCTAAAAAATAATGGATTTTATTGAAAGCTTCGGGTTCGCTGGTATTATAGGCAGGTAACCTGTATAGTCGCCATACAATAGGTATACCCTGCCCATACTCACGTCTTGTGATTATCCGCCAAAATAGATGTTCGGATGGGTTGTCACTCGCGAAGATCAAAAACATATGGTCGGTAAAAGCATTTGTGACCGGCGTCCATTATATTATTATCATCGGCAGAGCCCATTAAGACTCCGCCGAGTTTTTCGGGCCAGTGTCGTCCTGTACTGGCGCGTATTTGAATTTTGCGTCGGCCAGTAAACGTTACAGCCGGCAACGTTCGAATTTAAGACGATAGTATATACTAGCCACTAAGTAGTATTATAGTACCTACTATAGTATTATACAAACACTCGGGTATAATATTATGAGCGGGTTCATTTTCCTCCAAAAATGAAATACCGTTTTCCTTTACAAAAATAAAAGGTTAGTTTCCATTTGTCTCCAAATATTGTACTAGGTATTTAGCCGATAAGTAAGCTTATTTAGTGCTTTTAGCTATATATTTTATCTTTATTTAACATATTTTGACATAAAGATAATAATATAATAATTATAAAAAAATATAATAACTGTTAATAAATTAAAGATAGTTATTTTTTTTTTTTTAGTTAATATAATATGACTTACAAAATATAAATTTATTATATTCTAAATTCCTTATAAGGAGAAAATGGTCAAGATTTTTAGGGGTTTTTTTTTGAGGAAATAATGGACAGTGGAGGAAAATGGCAAAGGCCTATATTCTAGTTGCCGCGTGGTGAATAAAAGGTCCTTTGACGAAATGATTTAAGAATAATAGTAAGTCTCCCGACTTTGTAAAAATTCAAAATGGTTCGTCTTGTATATATTTGACTTTTGGCTCCGCGGCATCTCGAAGAACGATTAAGAATTTACGCTTATTAACACGAAAACCGAACGTCGTGATAAATTGAAATTTCGTATTTTCACTGTGCCCATCTGACGGACTTTCGACATTGATAATTATGTCTAAATATAGGATAACTAACGTCTAGCATACTCAACAACTGTCCATGACGTTCGATCTTTGCGTTTTAATTTTCGATGTGTGTAGTGTTCTAGTTTTGAAATATCCAAGTCAACTGGACCGCGCATACATAGCCGGTAAACATGTTGTTCCAATTATTAAAGGTGAACACGCGGTAAACGTATCAATTATAAGAATATAATGAATTCCATAAAAGTTATAGGCTGCATATATATACTATATACATTCATTTTTGTATTTATTATACTGGATTTCGTTAATTATCATGTTTTTTATTTTCTCAAATCATTTAGATAACGAAGTTAGGAATACCATTAATATACCCATTATACATCTATGTATATAATACATGATACGTCGTAGGGCTGGCCGCCTTAGCCTAAATTTTTAGCGAAATTTAGTTGAATCATTTCTTCAACTTTTGCTGAAGCTACAGAGTCTTTTACGTCCGATATTTTACGTTTGAGACAAAAAAATAAAAACCCTCAGGAATTTCGTTCAATTGTCATTGAACGTTGTGGCAGCAGGTTATATATTATTATATAGTTGGTTTTACGGTGGATAAGCGATCGGATTCTACTTCGAAATTACTATTATAAGTTTTCTGAAAAAGTAATCAAAATTTAATAAAATAATAACTAAGGCGTCTTTACATCCACTATTGTCTATTTGTGAAACACTATAAATAAAACTTGATACAAAAAAGTACATGATTTATAAGACTTTCGCAATGATTATCGTTTTTTGGTGACATATTGTTTAAAAAGCTTTTAGAAGTTGTTATCAAACGGTTTAAATTCATGATATTATGCCTCGTGTAAGTTTGGTCGTATTATTATTTTTAAATAAGGTTTTTTGCATTTCGTCCAGTACCTACAACTACTGTTGTTTACTCTTCGGCACGTTCGCTAATATTATACTCGTGTCGGCTATCAAGTTACTCGTCCCGACGTATGTCGCCCCGTAGGCGAATTCCCGCTCCACCGAATTCGTAACAAGACGACGAGGACGAGACGCCTTAGTTTCCGCTCCCCTGGTGTGACATAAGATACCTAGTCGACGGACGGGAAGCCAACCCTTGTTGGTTTTTTAACAAAGTCGTTATCATCGGTGTATTCTTATAGGTTAGACGATGTCTTAGGTATGGAAATTTATATAAGGTTTTGACATTTTTACAGTCACCGCCGGCCCGCGGGTACAATGCTCAAATAATGAACGTATAATACACATTTGAATACAGTTTAGCGGTGTGACCAAATCGTACCACATCTTGATGTATATAATATAAGATACGGATTTGAGATGGAAATGTGCTGGATGCATCCCTAAGCGCCTCATCCACCACTTCGATCACTATATTATTATGTTAACGAAATGGCTATTGGTGAACTCGAGTTTAAATGAAAAGTTCACATAATAAAATGTTATTGTTTGATATCCTTATTTTTACAACATAATGAAAATGATTTCATATCGTTGAAGATAATAATATTATTCTAATTAATTATTCAAATTTGTTTTTATAGTTACATAATATACTGTATAATACGCAACGTATATATTATAATTTATAATACATTATTAATTTAAATATTATACACTCAACTCGCTATAAAACAATAGCAATACAACCGTTAGATTTAACACAATCGGTTTACAATAATTTAAATATTTACCTACTTATATATTATACAGTACGAGTATGTACGTGTATTATGAATTTGGTAGGTGTACAGTAATTAATAAAAAAGATATAAATATTCCTACTTTTAACACGTATATTTTGTATATTATCTTTCATTATAATATTATTATAATACCCCATAGACCATCAAAATACATTTTTTTTTATAGAAAATACTTTCAAGGTAAATAACCGTATATTATATTCTTTACGTGTAACATTATAATTTTATAGTTAGGTATAGCTAGGTACACCAAAATATTTGATATTTAATTTTCAATTTATCACTCGCTTGATGTGAGTTATTTGTATTCTTCATTAGCTGACGTACCCCTCTGTTTTGTGTTCGATCGCGTCATTTTTTACGTTATTATTATTTTTCTTCTATATTATCAAGATTAGCCTAAAAATGTGACGGTGGATTAAGGCCATCGTTTCCGAGACAATGGTATAGTCGTAAAGCATCCGCGCAGTGATCCCATATAGTATATAATATTATGTATACATAGTGACGGTCCGGATCATTATAATATAGCTTTGAGTAACTGAACTGCGCTGGCCTCAATTTTCGTGGAATTACAAAAAATAAAAATAATAAAAAATAATGATAAATATATAATAATATGAAGAAAACAAATAATAATAACAACAGCCCGTCCGTGACGACGACTGTTCACTCTGGCTAGACTAGATTATAACATTAAAATTAATTCAACTGGACGCCGTTTGGCCCCGACGCCGCAGCCGCCTCAAACCGTACGAAACAATTCTAATTAAGAAATTTCACCGACTGGCTAAGGCATGCAGGACGGGCGCTCTGCCGAATATTATAATACAATATCATTATATTAATATTATTATTATATTCTCGGTCGGGCGTCGACAGACGGCTGTCCGTCCGACGGTCGGTCCTCCCGTCACATTCCGTCGAAATATTTCTCATACGTCCGATTCGGGTTTCTTAACTCGTGTTCTCACGGGGTGTTGGGGAGAAGGGGGGAGTGGTATAGCAAAAGGAGCCGCGGCAAATGCGTCTCGTAAATCACTCAACGGTCTAACGAAAAAAAAAAAGTAAAGAAAAAACCGAACCAAACAAACGAAGAAATAACAAAATAATAATAAAAAAAAGTCCTCTCTCGGCGGAGGTTGACACAATGTGCACATAGCCCGGGCCGGTGCCAAAACTACGACAATGGTGCCAAAGAAAATATAAAATTACTTCTAATTATTTTTAATATACTGGCCAATAAAAACGACGTCCACTGCGAGGGGGTGTGTATATGTGCACGGGATGTTGGCCAATTTGTTGTTCGGTCCGCAAAATGATTGATCGGTCCCGCGTGCTCAGTTTCTCGCCGTATGCAATAATAAAGTCACTCGTCATATTTCTATATGGTATACATGACGCACATTTGGTTCATATATTATACACTATTATTGTGTGCACACGCGTTTGTAGGTATGCTCTCGAGATGTCGGTGGATGTCACAGTGGTGTGAAGGTGCCACGAGGGGGATGCATGAGGATGCAATTGCAACCACACGGTGTTTCCGGAAAAAAAAAACAAAGTTAAGTGCTTATGAGTGGCGTGGTCTAGCTAGAGATTTTAGGAAGTGGTGAGGTGTAGGATGAAGTTATTGTGTATATTATTCTAAAAGTGATATCCGTAGCATGCACTGTGGTGGGAATTACTATCTTTACCACCCTTTGTAATGTATAATGATTAATGTAGGTAATGTTATACTATCTCTATACAATTTAATACATTATTATTATATTTTTTTCATGCAGGCGATATTGTTCTACACGCCCAGATGGCTGTGGAAACACTGGGAAGGTGGCAAGATCCGGGCACTCATGATGGACCTGGACGTGGCCATATGCACGGACGCCGAGAAGAAGCAGAAGAAAAAAATTCTGCTAGACTACCTGTGGGAGAACCTGCGGTACCACAACTGGTGGACCTACAGGTACTACCTGTGCGAAACGATGGCGCTCATGAATGTCGTGGGTAAGTCTCGTGTAGAAGTATATATTATTAAACGTACCTCGTTTATAATTATAGCATAAAGCATTCCTATAAGGAGACGACGTCTCACCGAGTTCTTCCCGACTCCCGGTTGATAACTTTTTTTTAAAGTTTGAGGTAATAATATGTACCTATTTATTTTTGTGGTTATCAAAATTTATCCACAATTAAAAAAAGGTTCGATGCAAAATAATTGTCATACAAAATATAATGTGACATCATCACTGGGCATGTTTACACGCCTACATAATATATGCAGTGATTTTAAGGTATACAAATAAGCAAATGTCTAAACTGATGTATAATTGTGTCTAATGTAAAACCTAAGGCCATCTCACATTGCCTTATGTTATACGCTCGTTTAATAGTCACAATAAAATTTACATAATTATTTTAAAAAATATATGATTTGCTATTATTCGCCACAAAAAACTTTAAAAATATACTACGGAAAGAAGAAAATAAAGTAGATTTTTTATCCAAAAAATGTAACGGTACAATATATGCCTCAAAAATGTTTTGTTTTTGAAATCACGGACATCGACTAATAGCAAATTAGTGTAGCGGTTTATAAATGGATTACTGGATTAGGTGTACTCTGTATAATAAACATGTATATATCTACCTACGATCCGCTGGTCGATGGCATTATAATGTCCGTTGCCTTCTACTGACGACGACCACCTGTCCAATCCGGGTGCGTGGGAAAACGTGATTTCGGCCCACTGTCTCATAATCTCGACGTCCAGGGTTCGGGATGCGGACACCGATCGAGTGGTATACAAAATGCGCGATTTTTTAATTTTACTGCAATGGATGATATTCTATTCTAAGGCCAACATTCTTTATACGTAATACAAATTCGTACAAAAATTATAAAAAATACCGAACGAATCGTTGGACTGAATCGATAATTTTTAACGACATTATAGTTATTAGACGTTGCGCCATAATAATATACATGTCTCAGAAAAAGTATCTAAACAAATTGGTTTTCGAGTAAATGGTCGCCGTGAACTATTGTTCTACGTCTCGATAATTACATAAAATGTCGTATTTTCACTTCTTACACTATGACAGCAAGTGACGACGACGGCCAGGGCTAATATAACGTACTGAAAATAGTGTATGAAATTATTGAATTATTGCAAAATTGTCAAAAATCAGACAATTATTATACGGGCACGCGACTGAGGCGGATATCTTTATATAATTTTTTATTCGATTACGCGTGAAAAATCTTCTTAAACGATGTATAGGTACTGACATCGTGTCATTGTGATAACAATAACAGTGTCATTGGCTTTTTGAAAAATAAAAATTTGATGATAATAATTATTACAATAACAATACCTACACAATACGCTCTTATAATATCAGTGACAATATAATATTTTAAAATTACATCCGAAACGCGTCGTTTTCTTGTTACGACAACGATAATCGTCTATATCGGCGGTGGTGCAAACGAAATTCGGCTCACGCCCGACGACCAATTGGGTCGCGACGACTTATACAATTATATATTTATATGTATAGGTATAATATATTTATATTATAATAATATATAAAAACGACAACTAATTTTCATGAATTACCGTATTTTATAATGTTATCGTGCGGCAGCGACGGCGAGGTTCGGAACCGATTTCTGAGTGTACATTATTATAACTGCAGTTGTGTCAAAACAGAATAATTAGCGGTCAATTGGATATTTTTTTTTACCACTCGTTTTGTGCCCGACCGGTGTCGTAATCGCGCCCAATTAACGGGTACTGTAGCTCTATAGTCAGACTAATCTCTTATAAAATTGGTACCCGTCGCAATCCGTATATACCTATTGTGCATATATATATATCATTGTTCATACATACGACCGTTATACGTACCCGAGAAATGTAGTATATTATAATTCCTGCCGACGGCCATTTAGCGGTTGTTTTGCCGTCTTATTACTATTGTTATCCATCAGCACAATCTATTATAATATATCTGCGTGATAATGGGAAGAGGTCGATTGGATGGATAGATCGGCGCACGCGGTGGAGTTCTCTACAGCATTTATTCACGAACTTGTACTCTTCTGATTGTGTATACTGTATAAAAAGAACTAAAAGACGGTGTCACCTGTATATACGTATGACTGTATTATATTATTATATTATTATTAATTATTATAAACAATAGTTATGATACCATATTTCCTGGTGGCGGTGACTGGGGAGGGGGAGTATAGGAGTCTACAGTGTCTGAAACAAGGTTGTTCGTCGTTAGTATATTAATATTTACACATTTTTTGCTGTTCATCGTTTTATTTTATATCGTAGTTTCTAAAGGTCACTTTAGATCACTTATTTTTAACTGACATTAAACACACACTTTGGGCTTAAGTTTGAGGTACATCGAGTACCTATAGGCTATAATATTAGTTTATTTTGTTTTCAAATACGTGATTGATCTAAAGTGTTATTAACATTATCGTCAGATTTATATTTATCTATTACGTTTATAACATTAATTAATTAATATTCACTTTAAATTCTGATCCATATTATTATAGTTTAGAGTTCTACATCATCTGTCTTAAAACTAAATAATAATTATAGTTTATTAAGGAAAAAATGATTCAATTGTTTCTCAAATAATTATAAACTATACTATACAATTACCCTCAGTCGGGTTTTAGTTATTAAAAATTAAAAATCCTAGACATTTGAGGTCATTTTTTGAGAATTTCCTTGCAGTATAATAACCTTTAGATAAAAATATATATTTATGACGCTTTGCCCAGTTCCTGACACTGGATAATAATGTATCACGATATTTATTTTAAAGAATCCAAAGAATTTCGATTATATAGTTATAAATTCTGTATATTTTATTATAAAATATGTTTTCTATTAAAAGAATATTTGATTTATTCAAATTACCGAAATCATTTTAGTTTTTTGTTATTATTATGGTTTACGGTCATAACCACGTGCTCCTGAAACCAAGTGCTAAAATTATTTTTGTAAACGTCAACGTTACATAAATAAAATTAGTTTATATTCATATTATGAAATAAGAATGATTACATTTGAAACGCTATACACATTATATATACTCTTTATTTCGCTTGTTTAGTTAATTATTTCAAACTCGTTTGAATTGACAAAAGTGCACTATATTTGCTGACATTTATTTACTGTGTACATTATCTACGTTTGAGGTTTAAATTGTGTGTTTCATTTTAAGATATTATGAATTTGTGCCAAATATATAGTTTTATCTGTCACCTCGTCGGTGTAATGTAACATAATATAATATGTATTATAACATACAATTTATAATAATACTACGACGAGAATATTATATTAACTTTATCAACGATTAATTACTGAACAATTAAAAATATAAAACTAAATTGTTGTTTTATGACATGTCTTACAATTATACTAAAAATGTCAAATTTTTAAGAACATTTTTTTTTTGTGTCCATGAAAGGTCAAATGTTCATGATGAACCGTTTCTTCGATGGAGCGTTTCTGACGTTCGGCGTGGACGTAATCCGGTTTCTGGAGAGCGACCAGGAAGATCGAGTGGACCCAATGGATCTTCTATTTCCCAGGATGACCAAATGCATTTTCCACAAATTCGGCGTGTCCGGCGAGGTGGAGACCCACGACTCCATATGCATACTGCCGCTAAACGCCGTCAACGAAAAGATTTACGTCTTCCTGTGGTTTTGGTTCATGATCCTCGGCGTCTTGTCGGCAGCCGTGATCGTTTACAGGTATTGGTATACGTGCTTGCCGGTGTCATATAATGTATACTGATGAAATGGTTTATTTTTTATGTTACCTATATATTATACCTACATGTAAAAAAATATTGATTCATCCTCTTGAACACACATCTTCTTGCACATTAGAAATAAAATTGGACAGTTATAAATATAATCGGTTCTACGATTTCCGATTTTTTTTTTTTTTTTTGGGGGGGGGGGTCTGCAGAAGCTTTTAGGTCTACTCGTTATATTTACTATACAAATATCAAATTACAGTCGAGTCTTAATATCTAAAATTTTTTGTGTGGCCCCTTTAAGTGTTTTAGGTACCTATATAACGTGAAACATACCTAAGTAGAATTTATTTTTATTCCCCTTGAGATTCGAGTTATCGAGACTCGGCGTACATTACATAGCATCTGACGCTACTGCTGCAGGACTCATATATAGGTAGGCGTAAAGGTTACATATTAATATAATATTGTGTTGTGCAATAACCAATATTTTCGTACCAAAATTTAAAATTGTTTAATCTCGTACTTGGTTTTATTAAATTGTTATAACATAATATTGTTACTTATCGTATACCAACGAGAATAGACATTTCTTAGACAATAAGAAAAAATTTCATTGGAACGAAATGATTTGAAAATGTTCGAAAGATACATTTTTTTCTTTTAAATTCGTAATTCGGAAGACACAATAATATACGATCGTCCAAATAACTTTTAGTTTTTACACAGAAGGTACAAATATTGTAGTCGCTATAATAGATACAGAATTCATTGACTCGGATGTTAGGGTCAGGCAGGGTTCTTTAGTATCCGTATAAAATGTTTTCTACTTTTTGCAGTATACATTCCACAAAGGGTTTTATAGACCGTATGTTATTATTTATTACGATTAAAGATTTAATAGTAAAATATAAAATGTTGCCCTACAAAAGACGTCAGTTTAAGTATACAATAACAGGTTTAACTACAAGTAGAAAATAAAACAAAATACACAATCGCGTCTCACAACATTTTATCCCAACAATAAACCGATAACAAAACATACAGTCAACTTTATGCTTATGGTCGTTCCTATATGAAATAGTATCAATTTAAAATGTTTGATTTAAGTCTAATATAATTAACAAAATATTGCTGCACTGGAGAGATCTCGATGACGCTCGATTCCTACTTTTGGTTCAATTTTGTCATGTTTAAATGTGTTAACTATACTTATAGGCTTGAAAACAGATGATATGCAGGTATACATAGCTTGGTTGTAGTTTGTGTATATTTTCTAGCTTATACATTCTTACCAGTTACCGAATAAACAAAAACAAATTACCGTTGTAGGTTTGTTTATGTGTCTAAAACTGAAAAGATAAATCTCCGAGGAAATATATTGCACTGCGACTCTTCGGAGCGTATCCATCCGAAAGCTGTGATAATTAGATTAGCATTCATTTTCTTTTACTTCGTTAACGAAGCTGCACGCTAGAAAATGTGTAACTGTAGCATATATATATGTATCATTTGTTGGACTATAGGAGGTAATGATTAATATAACAGACGTTGTTTTCTCCGGTTTTAAGAAAAACACATAAACCGATGACTTATTGTTTTTACATCGACCGTAGCGTGAATAAAACTGTCGACGTGAAAACGAAAATAATAATAGGTACCTATAACACGAACAATTCTCGGTGCACTATTATTAAATATAACAAATATCGGACATGTCACGTCGTAGTAATAACAATAATAATATTATTTATTCTATAATACATTTATAATAATTATAATATAACGTCTTATAAAAATTTCCGTTTTGTGGAGTCTCAAGAAGCGTGTAGCTTGTTATTAATTATACTTTAACTGCGGGAGGATGATATTAATATACGAGCTATTTCAACAATACCTATATCATAATAATATGTACCAACATTATATAGGTGAACCACAACATTATATACCAGTGAATGTACTGCGGTGAACTGTGCTTTGATCTCGTAGATGTCAGACCTAAGAACGTATAGTTTAATTTGTATGACGTGCATACTGTATAATATAGCTATTATTACTGTAGGGAACAAATTTTGTAGTGATAAAGAAAAAATGAAAAAATATTTAAACTTTTTCGGTTAAACTATGTACTAATACATATTATACGGGACTCGGCGATTTGATTTCAGTCGCACAAACCTATATTAATTGTTATACATAAATATTATGAAGTTTGATAAATATTTTAGACACTGCAGTAGCGCATTTTCGTCCTCGGTATGGGTTAGGCAACTTATATAAGCGTATAGGTATATAGCGCTCGGTCAATTTTTTTTTCCTTGAATATCCAAAGAAACATTTTTTTTTCTTAATTTTCAGGTTCATCATAATAGTGTCGCCGCGGATGCGCGTGTACCTTTTCTGCATACGATTCCGGTTGATCAAACGGCAGGCCATCGGAAACATCGTGCGCCGGTCAAAGCTGGGCGATTGGATGCTTCTGTACGTGCTCGGCGACAACGTCGACTCAGTCGTGTTCAGAGACATCGTACACGATTTGTCGCACCGACTGGAAGCGTACCACAACAAAAACTCGACGGTCAGGACGGTGGACGCTTGACGGCTGCGGCGGTGGTGGCGGCGGCTTGCAGTCAACAGTATAATATTGTGCTCAAATCGATAACGAATCAACGTATAATATTTGGTCAGTATATTATAATGCAATATTATATTACTGCTATTATATTATTATGTAGGAAGGAAACGATATTTTCGGCGTGAGAGTAAAAATATGAAAATAATAATAATTGTTCGTCTTTGGACATATATCTTCATGACTGCTATTGTTTCTGATTTTACTCTTGGCCCTTTTTAGGGGTTGCCTCCTAATAATCATGGTTGGTTTTTAGACTTAACAATTTAAAATATTGTAATATCAATATACGGGATTCTGAATCGAGGAGGTATATCATATTCATACCTTTATAGTATTATTATATTTGCTATATTTTCCTCTTATTTTGGTCTTAATAATAATTCCTAATATCTTCATATAATATACTGACCCTGTGATACGTGATTCCGTGATGGGGACCGCACTGAAACACATAATTTGCAAGTGAAAGATATTATTAGCACCGTACTCACCGTCATAACAGATCCACTTCATCTTATTATTATATTATACCGATAACCGATTTATACTGTACGCCTGTTCAACTATATCAAACAATCTAACCACCTATATCAAATTACTGGTGTGTATGACTACTATGACACATGTTCAGGTGTTCTTATAACTATATGCATGACTTTCGGCAGCGCACTGACTAAGACAATAATATTTGGCGTATAAAGTGGCTCTGGTTGCGCTGATTGAGGAATCGATATTTTTCGATTCTTTTTCGTCTGACGACGGGTATGCCCGACCAAATTTATAGCAATAAAAATGAAAACCAGACTATAAAATTTTGATTTTTCATGACATTGTGGCCTGATTTATTATTCCTCGTTTTATTGTATACCTACCTAAGTATATATACTCACATACACGTAATACTTGGCAGACAGCTTTTTTTTTTGTCTCGAGCCCATTGTGTTTCGTCTACCAATGGTGTTTGTTCAAGCTGGAGCTGAATAAGGGTTTATTAATAGATCTAATAATAATAATAATAATAGTATAAAAAAGAGCTTGACCGAAATTTTGCGTTTTATTTTTGCCTCAGTCTAAATTTGATGTCTCCTGAATCCTTGTATCAACGGGCAGTATAGCATATAGTACAATAAATATAGGTATATAGTTACATTTCTTTTTTATACGCAGTTCTTTGTTTTTATGTATACGCGTTATTACGTTAACTTAAAACTGAATTTATTGTTCGTTCTTTTATCACGTAACACAATAAATATATGTCTTTCATTTGCTTTGTTTAATCATGTCAATAATGAGTAAATAGTTTTTTCCCCGACATTGACAGCCAATAAATTAACAGCTTTATGATTATATATCCTTTTTTGATATTGTGACGTTACGAACGTTCCTATAGGCATACAGCTAATAAACCTATTCTATAATAATACCTATAGGTACATGTGCTATAGTCGCTATAACACACTTGAAGATTTCAAAATGTTGTAAATTGCTTACATTTATGAATATACGATCACGCCTTTACACAATCATCAATCACGCTTACAGATGTTATTGTTTTTGTCATCAAACAATGATATTTTTCATCGAACGTTTTGTTATTTGCTACAGTATTAAATTATTTAGAAAAGAAATACAAATGTCCATGTTTGGATACCATGCTTTTCAAGACATTCCTGTACCTATAGACCCGTTTTCATATAATTTCGAGAGAGACGCTTCTGTATTATTTCCCAACGTTCCTATAATATAATGATACATATATTGGTAATTACAGCTAACTGCGAAGTCGATAATCTCAGGTGACTCGAATATCATAAGAATTGACTCAAACAATATGCTCACAAATAAGTGAAAAAATTTTATTGATCGGTAGAATTTCAGCCTTGTCGATTTCGTAGAGTAGGGCGACTTGTGGGCGTCAATGAATGTGCATGTATAAAGGACAAATGTTGTCAGCCCCTGGGCTCAGAGAGAGTGATCATTGTGTTTACTGTTCATAAATATAATGATATTATATCACTTTCATTGTTTTCAAAATATTTTTGTCTCATGATTTCGCCTCGAACTTTACTATCTACCTCGCGGTTACCTATCCATATGGTTTTCAAGGGTTCAAGCACCAAACCGGTTCGCCAGTATAGCAGGTATCGTTATTTCGTTCAAATGCCGTTTGTGTCCACAGCAGACGCTTGTTTGTAGTTATATCCTAACAATAGTCCAAGGACCAAACGGCCGCCGCATTCCTCAATAATTATTTATTATTATCCAGTCGGCGTGAATAAATGTATATCTGTGGACATAGGCGTTTTTACAATAGACAGATATTGACGTCGGAGACGGCGCTCGATTCAAAGCAAACAAGTTTAGTATACAGATGTACCTACCTATATACAATATATAATAGACGCACGTAACATTTGGTTGAGCAATACATAATATCGTTAAGCATCAATTGATATTTTTTTGAATTGTGGACTTACATATTTTTCCTCTCCATGCATGCGCGTGTAAATAATATTGTTATGGTGATACAAAGTGAATAAGGTCACATAACATAATTTATTATGATATTTTTTATACTAACGGTCAAATGTAAGAGTCGCGCCGACTTTGGCGTTACAGTCGGTCTCTACTCCATCTACTACAACCCATACCGCAGAAAATAAGATGGGCGTACGTCTTATATTATAATATATCGTCGTAAACAACGTTTTTGTCACGCCTGCACCGAAAGTTTAGTTTTAGACGACGGTTGAAGCGTTGGAAAGCGACGTTTTTCCTTGCCGGACGTTAAAGTGTAAATTCTCAAAAATGCCGGGTGGTAAAATGGAAATCCCCAAAAGTGCTGGGGAATGTCTGCACAATCAGACAATGAAATCTATACCATGGTCTTTAAACATAAATTTTTGGTTACATCTTATATTCATATTAAAACCTCCATGCATGATGCTTCAAATAAATATGTAAAGCCAAATCCTTTCTTCATGAAATTATTTTAGTAGAATAGTCTGGTTGTTGCATATATCCCTACATTACCCTTGCCGTGATCGATGAGCGCAGAAGATGAACGGGAAGACAATTTCAGTCTTTTTTATTGAATTGATTATTTAGAAAATTTGTCGACACGTAATCGCGTGTCATCGTACGTCGAAAGTTGTCAGCGATGCATAATATTATGTTCTATTCACATATAAGTATCACGTGAAAATACTAAATAGTATATATTTTGCTTGGAAATATATTGTTGGATACTTTTAAATATGAATTGTGTGCACAACATGTTTTTCATTTCACCCTGGATTCGCTTTCTCTAAAGTATAATATTATAATGTACAGTAAATTATATAAAGAAGGCCCTCAATCTGACCGAATGACCGGGATCGACGGAAAAAAAGTGTGTCGGAATGTATAATATGTACCCAATATTGTTATTGTACTTGGTTAAACGAGTAATTAGAGTAACCTCATCAAGGTCTGATAACCAAAATCGACTAGTATATTATGAGTGTGTGTGAGAGAGCTAGTAATACATAGCGATTAACAGCGCGTTGCATTCGAACGAATAACTTAACCATGGCGATGCAACCGGTGGTTTTTCGTCTTCATTCTACGTACCTTATTTATTATAAGTAATGCGCATATACCTAGGCGCAAAAAAAAAAATGGACCGTAACGAGTGGTTATTAAAGTGCAATAAAAATTCATATTTCGTAATCAACGCATAATATTATGCCTTTTGGTTTAAGGGGGCGTCCATCTGAATTCCGTAAGACTACTATTAGTTGCTGCTACAGAGTATGCGTTAACACGTGTAAGCTATAATAATTATCCTGGATGATTATTTTAAGTTCAGTGAATATAATATTATGGTAAACATTATTCCGAAAAGTATTAAATTGTATAGGACACCTGTATTTTTAAATTTCCGGGGTAGAATGCCTTATAAGACATATACTGTTTATACCTTATAATTATAAGCGTTTTAATTGCTTAAAGTAGCTTTCCATTACTTTTAACCATCAACATGAGTGTTGGTAATATGATATTTATTATAAGGCTTATAAATAACAGTAGATAGACTATTTATTTTCATAAATGTTCAATATTCGTAACTAATTGTAAGTGAGTCAAGATTTTTCGATATATATGAAAACAAAAGTGAGTGCTACCGTTAGAATAACATAAAAATAAAACCATCGAGATAAAAAAAAATAGTGAAAACACCAAATCGATCCAGTACGAAAAGAACTGATGAAAAAACACGTCCGTCATGAAAAAAAAAAAATCACAAATTGTGAATACATTTAAATTTATGTATCCCAACTGAAAGCCGTTCCGGGACGGAAAGACTGGAAGTCGTCCAACCGCAGCTGCAGCTAGCTATATTATTATGGTATATAGGTATATAACTCGTATTTACGCGTCTCGTCAAATAGCGATTTTTTTCCTGACGACGACGACACATTATTATTTGTCAGTTTCTAAACAGTTTGTACAACTTTACTGTTATGTCGTTACACGCGGGTCTATAATAATTATTGTAATACATTATAATATACTACGTCTGCTGTTGTGGAAACGATCTGGTATTTTAGCGACTTTGCCGCCGCAGCACGATCGGAACTGGCACCGGTTTCGGTTTGCGCGGAAAAGTTATTTTTGAGCGGGTATCGCGATTAGCGGGTCGATTTCAGCGTTTACGATCGTGCCATTAATGAACGGTTTTTTATTGTCATAATGTATACAGTTATTCGCGATGCCGAGCTTTTTGATGTTTGGGCGTTTAAATAATAATAAAACGATTTTTCTCACTTGGAACTCCATCAATGACACACACACAAACGTATGTATACTATGTAATATTATATATATATATATATATATATATCAGGCGTTAAGTCTTATAAACACGTTTCCGGAACAAACGCACCGCCCGCGCAAACGGAAACGATTATTCCAATTTGTTT